GCTTTAATCTTCTAAAAGAAGATGTTATACAATGTTTTAGTGTGAATAATGCATTCAAAAAGGCTTGAAAAGCCACCGAAATTTGCTTTAATGCGCATTAAGGTTAGGTTAGGATAGCAGTTAAAGGCTGTATGATTTAGAAAAAAATGAAATAATTTCACTAACTTTCTTTTCTTTTTTTTTTTTTTTTTTTTTTCTATCTTTAATAAGTGACAACTTACCCGCTTTGGAGAATAACTACTACCAGGGCTGAAGATATTAACAGCTTTGGAGACATTGTGTGTCATTCAACACGAGACAGCACACTGTTTCAGTCCCACTGTGCGCGTTTTGTTATAGACACCAGATAGTACTGGGAACCGGCTGGTATGCCTCAAAGCTGCAGCGGAACAATGGTTGCTCAGGAGATTTAACAATAGCAGAGCAATATATGTTTCAATTACAATTTCAACGCCGACAAGAATATTGTGTATGTACGTACTCAGCGATTTAAAAATATGTTCAAATGTTGTAGAATTGAATTGACTGATAATATTTACCTTCTGGATATGCCTCAGTCGAAGAGAGGAGTCGGCACTTTAAAACACACGCAGTGTCGCGTTTTCTGCCTTTTAAAGTCTGAAGGCCAAGGCTTCAATGCCAACTAATTAGACGTTTCTGACGTTTAACCGCGCAATTTATATAACGATGAGATTAAGAAGTATTGGCATCACAATGCTCAGCCCCCTGGCTGGAAGAAAATGAAAAAACATGAAAATATTTTCCGTTCATAATTGTGGCTGCTTAGGTACGCCCACAATTCGTGTTCATTTTTTTCACCTTTTTTGGCATGGGGTAGAAAATTTTAGGCATTGAAAAAAAAAAGCTTAAATTTCAAAGATAACAGTTTATTTCAAGTCTATTTGTTCATCAGCTGGTATTATTAGTAACTAAAAGTTATTCCATCGTAAGTTATTTTTCTTGAGTTATCTTTTAAAGAATCATTAGGTATTAATCAATATTGATTGTATTTTACCACCTTTAATGTTAATGGCCCGACGGATGTTTAAAATAAATTGGATCCACCCATGTTACCCTCCAGCTAATAATGAATGGACGTTTTGCGCTATTTGCGTATGAAACATTTATAATCGGGCGAGGCAGTGTTATTTCATCAAAGAATCTCGTTTCGTGCGTTACATATTTCCCTCCATGCTTTATTAAGCACTTCTCCCACGAGCTCACATTTTGATACCAGATGATGGATCACCCACCTGGTGAATATGCGTTGAAAAGTGACCACAAAATATGGCCAAAATAAAAATCATCTCTCTTTCCCGCTAACACACTCGGTGACTATATTTGGTGAGCGTCATATAACGGCTATAATGACCAGTAAGTCGATCAAAAGTCTGAAAAGCCTTTATCTAACGCTTTAGTATTTTATAATTTTTGTTATCTACCTTATTTGAGGATGTTTCTGGAAATACATTACGTTGTATTCGTGTGAATGACCAATGTTTTCCGCACATAAAGCAAGCACGCTTAATTAAGGGTTAAAATCAATAAATTGGAATTAAGAAAATTGATCCTTAGGCAAACGTTAGCAGCGACGTAAAGGTGTTAAAGTATTACCAGAAGAGAAATTCCGCATTTCAATCGATAAAAATTTCCATCTCGATTACCCTTAGGTCCTCAAAATGCGAAGTTACCAACTAGTTGGCAATCATTCTGCTTAGTTTCTTCTTTTCTCGTTTTCAATTACAAGAAAATCTCTCTGTCGGCTCTAAAAAGCACCGACAACATAGAAACCTCAATTTAATTAAGTGCTTTCTTCAATTTTAGCAAGCCATTTACTTGTAAATACAGTATAATTGGTTACCTGTCAAAAAACACTACGATAAGGTGTGCTTTAGCATTCATTTAGGAATATGTTGCACGGCTTAGCTCATGACTGAAGTTCTGTGCGTGCAAAAAACAATCGAAAGAATCAGTTCTTGATAAGTACGTCAGCAAAAAAAGGCCAACTTTCGTAAGCATGTTTAAGCTACACCTCAGCAGAAATCACGTGATGAAAACCAACCAGAATTGAAAATATATAAGTGCGGTTTTCAATTGAGTGACGTAAAACCAAAACCAAAGTAACCACAATGGGCAATCATAGAGGACACAGAAAATCCAGAGAACCAATCAAAACTCGACGTAAGTACACGTAGCTGACGCAAAGCGGGCCATAAAAGTTGTGTAATTTCACAGGTGAAATTATAAATTAACGCCGAAATTTCGCGCTATCATTAAAGAGCAATTTGTCACTCATGATATCAAGATCGTAATCGGGCGAGAAAGTTCGAATTTCAACTACTTAAAATTACCATCATGAATATTCTAATAATCTAAAAATACGAAGTTGCCAATTGATTGTATCAATTATAAAAATCCGGTAATCGCGATAAAAGCCTCTTTCTTTATGTTTTAGCTTATTACAAGAAAATCTCTCGGTCGGTTCTTAAAGGCACCGACAACATAGAATCCTCAATTTAATCAAGTGCCTCCTTCAAATTTTAGCAAGCCATTTACTAGTAAATACTGTACAATTGGTCACCTGTCAACAGACAATATGATGATGTGTGCTAGAACACTCATTAGGAATATTTAACGTGCAAAGTACGTCAGCATAAAAAGCCAAACCTAGTAAGCACTTCAGTTTCCACAAGCTATTTACTAGTAATTAAAGTATAATTGGTCATACGTCTATAGACACCTATAGTAATGCGTAGAACTTTCAACAAATATCACGTAAGATTCTTCAAAAATTCAAAATATCACAAATGCTTTCCTAAATATCTCGAAAAACACTCTAAAAATATGTTGATTTTTGTTTTAAAATAAACCAATTCTGAATCGCTTAAGCCACAATTTTCAAAATTTTCAATTCTCTTTTCACACTAAAAGATGGAGAGAGGAAGAATATTCACGCTTACCGATGTTACTGCCATCCGCCATTTTGGAAAACTGCTGCTTTGAGTGCTTTTAGTTGTGAGAAATATATTTTTCAAAGTGATTGTTTCTGGCACAGAACTGAGTATTGTTTCAAGAAAATAGTCAAGAATTCACAGTGCTCAGCCATAAAAACTATAATAATTATTTCTAAATATCCCAAAATTGTCTAATTATCGCCAATGTTTCTAAATATCTTTATACTTTCTAAATATCTCAGAAACTTCTAAACATCCGCCAACGTATCCGGACAAATGTGGAAAGACCCAGCGCTAGAGCTATCATTAAGAGAGTTTTTGCATTATTAGCTCATGACGGACTTTCTGTGCGAGCAAAAAATAATCGAGAAAATAAATTTTTAATACGTAGGTCAACAGAAAAACTCGAAAGCTCAACAGCAGAAATCACGTGTCGACAACCAATCAGAAACGAAAATATCTTAGACTATTAAAGTGATTTGATTCTGCCAAAAAACGAGAGTCAAAATCGACCTTAGGGCACGAGAATGCTAATAACGCCTGAACTGTAAGGCATCATTAACTACTTATTGACCGAGAGTGAGGTCTTGAGGGGACAATCTCAAACCGAGACCGTGTCGTTTTGATCGAGCGATAGCGAGGTCAATACGCGAACGCAGAGGTTTGAGATTTTCCTGTAAAAATCGAACGTTTGGTTAAGAAGTTGTTTATTATATGGCTTTTTGCTTTGTTTTTGCAATGTCGTAATTTTTGCAGTCCCGTAATTGGCTTGTAATTGGCACAAGCCATTTTACAAGAAGTCTTATTAAAAATTATCAATTAAAATAGGTCAGTTCAGAATCCTATGGTCTAATTTTCCAAGAACTTTCGCAGACTGAATTTCCCCGCGCAGCCGGATTCTAATTCTAGTTTCTTATATTCTTTCAAATCTAATCTGTCAATGTTTTTTTTTTTAAGAACAGTAGAACCCCTTGTTAAGCGGCCACCCCCGGGCAAATGGGAGGTGCCGCTTAAGATAGGGGTTGGCAGCTAATAGGGGTTCGTCGTCAGTAATTAGCACAAGGCTTAGTACATAGGCTAGTTTATTCAAATACAAGCTGGGGAGCAAGGGGGCTCACCAGGCTACCTCGCAGCGTGCCGACTGGGGACGAGTCAGATGCTAGCCCTGATACGTCTCATTCACAACAACAAAAGTCCCTTACAATCTTTGTAGTTAAACCTTTGACACAGCGCAGGAAACTCGTTGAAAACGCATACTTTTTTCTACAAACTATGCGAAGACCTCTCTCTGATTTGCCACAAAGGTCGGGAAAAATAGTACTCCCTCATAGAATAGTAACCTTGCATTTTTCACAGAAATACTCTGTAAATCAGAAGTGGTTTGTGAACATTGGCATACAGTAAATATTGATTCAATGATTCCCAACTAGCAAACTACTCTTAAGCACCAACGCTTTGTTAGACTCTACAATCGAATCAAAAATTTTAGTAGGCCCACATGAGCCCTTAAATTGCCTATACTAACACACTCATCAAATTAAGTATGTTTATATGTATGTGCATACAAGTAGGCCAACTAATCATTCCAACTAGAGGTAAATCTGCCATTTCAGCATTGATTTTTGCGTCTCTAATCAACGGGTATTCCTAAACTAGCCTAACATACAGTAGTGACGAGATCGTTTGTAGATACCAAGTTAACTTTATTAGCCCTTGGCTACATTACGCTGGAGGAATTTGAAAACGAAGGGTTTCCGCATCAAATGTTTTCCGTCCACACTACGCCGGAGGAATTTCAATCACCGGCCATCTTGGGTTGATGTTTGAGGAAAACTCGGTCGGGGAAATCACATGATTATCGTGACGCTATCGTTTTCGAAAAGCTCCGTTTTCAAAATGGTTTTCTTCCGCACGAAAACGAAAGGGCGACGTTTCTAAATTCCTCCGGTTGAAAGAGCGTTTTGGAAAAGCTCCGTTTTCGTGACGGATTAGTGTGGACGGTAGACCTAACCGTAGAAACAAAGCTGCGTTTTCAAATTTCTCCAGCGTAGTGGACGTGTGGACGCTGCCTTAGCTATGCAGATACGTGAAATATATATTTTAACTTATATACAACAAACTAGTTTACGACAAGTGCGAAGTACAACTTCTCGTATCTCACTCAATCGCCAACAATACAAAAATGGATTTAAAGTTGAGTTAGTAAACACTATAGTAGAAGCAACAGATCTGCCCAGGAAATCATTGAATGAATAAAACGAAGAGATAAGATAGACGACAAGATATGGACAATAACAGATAATAAGTACAAGAAAAACTATAAAAGCGTTGAAAGCAGACTTCTTCAGCCCCGACATATTGTTAGCATTCCCAGTGTTACTTTCAACTGCTTGAAGCTGAATTTGAATCGCATTTCGATGATGGCGAACAGTTTTGTAAATTTTTATATGAGAGATAGTTGAAAGGCAAAGACAAACACATATTACAGTTCCCATCAAAATTAGCAGACTTTTTTGGTGCCACAACTGTGTGCTTGCTAGAATTACACAAGCAGTCCAAATCGTTACGAGGAGACGTGTCACTCGGGGAATGGTGACAATACTTGGGTATTCTAAAGACTTCTGAATGGCTATCATTCTGTCGACGCTTATCGCAGCGACTGTACAAAGCGAAATCCCACATAACGAGAAGCCCAACATGTTGTAAATGTTTAAGAATAGAGGCACATGAATTGGTGTTTCGGATTGAGGGTACAGTGCAATCAAATCGTTCGCGATGAACAGTGGCTGTGCAACTGCTCCCACAGCAAGATCAGAAAGTGCTAGACCACAGAGGAGAAACATGGATGGTGAGCGAAGGGTTGGCGTCTTCCACACCGCATGTAACACCAAGGTGTTACCGATTATCGATGTCCACGCGAGAACGATGTTTACAGCGCAATTTATCACCACCACTTTTTGCATAGCATCGCTCATATGTTGTTCCCCTCCGGATCCATTATTGCTACTTTCTCTTGGGATAATACCAGCAAACTGCCTTGTTATCCCGTTTGTCTCATTGGAGAAACGCATTGCTTTTCACCGTCTTTTGTTTTCGATAACACGCCGATCTCTTTTTATGTTAGTTGTTCAACAACTTCAACCAACGATCAAAGAAGCTTGCATTCGTGAATAGGAGTTTCGCATTTGCAGTTGAATTCATGACGAAAGGAGGATATTATGAGTAATATTTGAGAACCTGTGTTTTAAATTGTCACGTAGAAGAGGCTTTTAGTTTGCGATCGCGAGGGTAACGTTTGTATAACAAGACACACGACAGTTTAAAAAGTGACATTTCAAAGACCCTTGAAAGTTCACATCCTTTCAATACGACGTTTCCATTAAGTAAAATATTAAATATCTGTATAGGAAATGTAGTTATCCCGTCAGTAATGAAAAATTTCAAGTAAAGATGATAAAGTGACGAGAATAAAATTGTGCTTATTTCGGAGCAACTTCAGAATACCCGGCCACTTTATTTACATGTGCCGGTGTGCTTTCAAGAACGAGGTATATAACAATAGTTGCTATTCTTATTCAATCAGATGCTAATAAGTGGCCGGGTATTCTGGAGTTTAGTTCCTCTAAGATAATATCACCAAGTTATTTAGCGGGAAATTCGCAGACGATTTCTCATTTCTCAAAAGAAACAGATCTGTATGTACACAGGTGTACTTTGGAATATCATCTTCGCCATCATCAAAAACAAACAAAAAAAACTGAGGTTTCAAATAAAACCGTATAATTACCATTTAGAAAGCCACCTTCTGCTACTCGAGAAATAAGCTGGTAAGATGTTACCGAATAGAAGAGATTTAAAAAAAAAAAAACATTAACAGCAACTACTAAAGAACCCAAAAAATACAATACAGCCTTAAAAAAGAAAAGGAATTCAAAATGACATTAAAGATTTGTCTTTTCTTGTTTCCCATCTGCATTGAGATTTGAAAGCTTGTGAATATAAATCTATTGTAATGGTTTTTTTTCCTTTTGTTTTGTTTTGTTTTTTGGTTTGGTTTTTCTGTTTAGAGTATACTCTCGCACACAAGCTCCACACGTCGAATATTATTATAATTTTTTTGATCTTTACATCTTGCCAAAAAAACAACATATTTATATATACGCCGCATTGTGCAAACTTGTTATCCTGCCTGGTTGATCTGACATTTAGTCAATAACGTGTTATTACAAGGACGTAAAAGTCCTGAAGATAAAAATATTGGACTTAAACCTGTGACGTTACGTAAGGCCAGCACATGTAAACGTTTTGAACACGAAAATTTAGAGTGGAAAATTGAAAATTGAATAAGATTAAGCTTGCAATTTGCATCTCAGGCAGGTGTTTATCGTTATTATAATTTCTCTATCAAGTAGAAATTTTCTATTGATGAGAAATTTTGTTCGAAAAAAGATACATATTCGCAAAATGTTTTCCAAATGTTAAGAATTTAAGTAATGTTCTTATGCTGTCAGCAATCTTGAAAGTCACCGGACAAGCAACTTTAATTTTAAACAATTTTTCGTCTAAATTTAATAAATAACCAAACTTTGATCAAAAACTTTACATGCAGTCCAATAGATAAAATGCATGCTGACTGCAATTTGACTTTGGACTCATTGTCGAGCCATATACACACTGTTGCTTCCTGCTTCACTTAAGTCTACCGCGGAAAACACGAGTCGTCATTTCCAGTGTTTACTCCTGAGGCAGAAACCACACTATGCCGGAGAAATTTGAAAACGCGGCTTTATTTCTACAGTTAGGCCTACCTTCCATACTAATCCGTCACGAAAACGGAGCTTTTCGAAAACGCTCTTCGAATCGTAGGAATTTGAAAACGCTGGATTCTCGTTTTAGTGTGGACGAAAAACATTTTAAAAACGGAGCTTTTCGAAAACGATGGCGTCACAATGATCATGTGATTTCCCTGCCGACAGTTTTCCTCAAACACAATTCCAAAATGACCGTGATTGTTGAGTTTTTAAATTCCTCCGGCGTAGTGTGGAAGGAACACATTAGATGCGTTTTCAGAGTGAAACTTCCGTTTTCAAAATTTCCTCCAGCGTAGTGTGAACGGCGCCTCAGTATCCAAGAATAACACGTCAATCACATGATCAAAATCTTGGATGCTGATTTTAAACCCTTTCAAGCAAACACGACTATCACCAGGACTATCAAAGTGTGTGTTGCATTTGAGTGACATCTGTCAGTCAGTAACGCTGTGGTACACAGAAGCTCCCAGTCTCGTCAAGACACTCCGTATTTTTTTGCCAAAGAGAAAACATCATCGTCATTTAGATTCAGTTCCTCCTTATGTTCTCGCACACTGTGTAGAAGAGCGTTTATAACTGAAACACAATAAATAGGAAATGCATAAGTAATAAGGAATTAAGGACTTGTCCACACTACGCCGAAGGAATTCAAAACGCAACATTCACCGGCCATTTTGGATTCATGTTTGAGTAAAACTCGGGCAGGGAAATCACGGGATTATCGTGACGCCGTCGTTTTGGAAAATCTCCGTTTTCAAAATGTCCTCCGTCCACACGAAAACGCAAAGCCGACGTTTTCAAATTCCTCCAGTTTGAAGAGCGTTTTGGAAAAGCTCCGTTTTCATGTCGGATTAGTGTGGAAGGTAGGCCTGCCTGAGTATTCTCTTTAAACAACTTGGGTTGATAAGAAACGCCTGTATTTAGCATTTACTACCTACCGCGCAAGGAGAATATTTCGACAAGGATAAACCGCATTACATATAATGTCATTATACAATCATTGTCTGAAGCAAGTAAATTTTGAATACTTTACTTCAAACTTGCTTGAGTTGGGTACTTATCGGCATTGCTGGACTTACAATCGCGTACAATCTCCCAAGGACTGACTGTCGATCAACTTACTGTATCCGAATGCCTAGCCAAAGAGATTGCCAACGAAGGGGGGAGGGTACTCCCAGAAAATCTGGGTGGGTGTGCGGCACGCTTCCCAAAACCCTTACCCTATGCAAGACCAAAATTTGGACATTTTCCCTACCCTATTTTTGAACTGGGGTCCGTTTCTCGAAGGTCCCGAAAAGGTTTCGCACCCGGAAAGCCGAAGCAGAATCTCCAACCTTATGATTACAGATCTGTTTTATTCAAATATTCTTAATATGAACAGAGGCTCTCTTCATATACGGACTTCCAGGCGTGTACACCTCTCTGTTTTTAGATACAGATGATCTAAAAATGGCTTTGCGGGCACGAAAGGTTTCCGGGCTCTGGAGAAACGGGCCCCTGACCCTTAAACAAATACCCTGCTTCACACCTGCCTTACAATTAGTTTATTAATTCAGACCAATGCTAAAGGCAATGTTCATATGCTTTTTTTTAGGTAGGATAGCTTCTTCGAAACAATATATCCAATTCAAGACTAGAGTGCAAAAACTATACCCGATTTGAGACCAAAATGGCCAAAATCGATGCCCTATTTCTGACACAAACGGCTAAAAAACCATTGGGATCCCTTTTGGGCCGAACATACCTATATGGATAGTAAGTGACTGAAAAAGTGTATCCAAGGAAAAATGATTTGAGTTCTATAGATAGGGAGGCTCCACTGCTTATTAAACGGATTACTGGATTAGTGGGCATCTCAAAAAGNCCCCCCCCCCCCCCCCCCCAGGAAAGATTGTGACCTGACAGTGTTTCTTACTAAACTGCTTTACAAAAAAGAGAAAAAGAGAAAACAACACTTAAACGAAGTCATAACTTATTTTGTTTGTTTTTTGCTCAAGTGTTTCTTTCAAACTGAGCAAAAGTGGAAATGAAATCACAAACTTCTTCACTAACCTTAATTTAGCTTCTTGTCTTTTTTGTTCTTTTGTTAATTGTAATCCTCTGCGATTTCACCGTCGGTAAGAATTACAGTGCATATGTATCATTTCCGCTCGTTAAAATCCGCTTAGTGATTTCTCTTTCGTTTTGCAACGTATACTACAGAAAGCGTGGGAGAATAACATTTTCGGCAAAGAAAGAAGTCGAATTGCTTGCAAACGCCAAATCTGAACGAAGAAACGTACATTTTCCCGTACAAATTTCGTACTGCAAAGATCACAGCTTCAAGCACATGGTTCAGGGAAGGTCCCTTCCCAGCATGCCTTCTGGGACTATCACACTCGTTTGGCATCATCTACTCATACGGGGCCTATTTTGACTTCACCGATGGGGTAATCTCATCTGAATGGTTTAGCTTCGGTAATCAGTAACATTGCGTTGCATGATCAGTTGGGAAAAAACCCCTAAGAGATACCAATTCTAAAACAACACATTATCTACTGCCATGTTTTTTTTTGTTTTGTTTTGTTTTTTTCCGGCTCAATACCCTGAAAGGTACTGGACTAAGACAAAGGTACTAAGACAAAACCGCTTTTTTAAGCCCTTAAATGTACGACGAGCACCCCCGTCGTTTTTATATGGGGGTCCCCCACCCCCCCTCGGGCTTGGAAAGCGCGCGCGATTTTCCGTCCATCACTGCCGAAAGACAGCCACCCACTGTGCACATTATATTATTCCATTGATACCATAACAACATTGCTAGTACGATTAGTTTATCAATTGTCAATGACAATTGATTGTGAATATACAGTGATCACCTTTCTTGTCCTTCTCTGATAGGAACATAACAGCCATGCTAAATCTCTTGACTTCAGCCAGGTATCTCAACTCCTTGTACACAGGGAGACCATTTCTAAAATAACGCAATGATGAAATGGAATTACCAGTAGAATGAGTCAAGATAATGTGTCATCATTAGATGGGGGGTGGGGGAGCCCTGGGGGCAGAGGGGATCCCTGTGGGGAGGGAAAGAGCCCTCGGGGAAGGAGGGGAGTAAGAGGTTCCCATGCACACCTTAAGGTCATTCCACTGAAATAGAACCTGCACTGAGAGTTTTGTCAAACTTTGCCTATTGACTGTTTATACTGTAGGAACTTAAATTTTGAAATAAAAATGAGGGGTCCCCATGTTCGTTTAGGAGCAGCAGCACCCTGTTTATATCATATAAATCCTTACAATAGCACCGTGATTATAGTCACGATTGCTTGTTAAATTCACGTTTCCGACGATTGTTTCTTGCTCAACACTGAGAATTGGTCCATATTTATTTTACATAGAGAAATTTATTACTCAATTCAANAGAAAAAGCCGCCATTTTTTAATGCGCGCGCGCTAATCACGCATGAAATTATGCGCAGTAGGGATGCGCAATGCAATACTGGGGAATGACCTTAAACACCTTAAAAAAGTTCAGCCCAGAGCTTTTTAACAGTCAATCCCCGAGTACGGATGTAAGCCCGTAAGTCTCTCTAAACAAACCAAAAAGAAACAAATGAATGCAACCAAACATCTGGAAACTTAATAATGCAGCCCATAACAACCCCGTCGGCCATGCCCAATTACTCTCGAAAATATCCTTTACTTCCATTTCCCACAAACCACCACCTTCGATCCCTCCTTAAACCACCTACTTAATAAACGCCATCTCAACACAAAAAAGAGCAGAGTGCTCGTTATAAGAGATTACAAGCTGCACGACGTACATGTATACAGTACTACTGTAAGCAATCTGAACATAAATATTTAAACCTTACGGGATGTAGAAGTCCTGCAATAGCTTGGTTATCTTATTCAGCGTGTCCGACTCAATTGATTGTTGGAACAACTTGGGGTACGATTCTGGATTGATTTGCTGAAAGAAGAAAGAAAACTAATCAGCTTCAAATTTCTGTTCAAAACATCATTACAAAAGAATTACGGCGTGCACACCGAGGCAGGTACATGTATATACTTTGTAAGAATTAATTCTGTACATCCGCGTTTCAAGAGAGTTGTTAAACAGGTTTACAATGCGCGCAAACCCAACACGGGTAGTCCAGCTATTTGATGCAGGAGCTACGTCACCGTTTGCTCATCTTGGAAAGTTTAGCCTAATTTTTTTCAAGTTCGTCGTTTATAATCCGTGTTAATCTTCTCAATCCTTAACCATTCTTGTTCCTTTATTTTTTTTTTTTTTTTTTAGAATGTCGTAAGTGCTTTTCTATCTTAGTAAACGATTATTTACAGGTTTCCTTCAATTTAAAGGTGATTTTGCAAGCGGCCAAAATGACTCAAAATACCGTTACTAAGTTCCTTTAAAAATATGCAGTTCAACACGGACCGAGAACTGCTATCAATTCGCTTGTATTGGACCACCTTTAGAGTCAACGGTACATGCATACAAACGGTAGAAGCGAAGACAGACATACATTAACGTAATTATGCACGTTGGCCTTACTTTGAAATAATGAAAGAGTTGTTCCGGGTCTTTTTGTAGCGCTCTCCAATCGGATTGAAACTGCCCGGATGTTTTTGGTGCGGTGAATGACTTCCAAGTGGTCTGGGACGGAGTGGTGGGCGCGGAGGACTGGACATGACCTGATGAAGGCGGTAATGATGAGGATGATGGTGATAGCTTAGTTGAACCGTTGTCGTTTGGTTTCACTTTTAATTTCTCAACTTGATCAAAACCGTTTGTACAAGGAGCTTGATTTGCATCATTTCTCTTCTCTTCCGTCGATAAAGAAGCTGACACTTGTGCCTGGGTGGAAACTTCATTTTCACGGTCGCTGTCACTTTCTGTTCCAATCTCTTCTATAACTATACGTTTCAGAGGTTTCTGAGAAGAAAAAAAACAAACAAAAGCAAAACAATAATTGTTTACTCTGAAGGACTACTATATCAGGTAGAGACAAGGTGACCCTCCTTCACGCTTGTAAAATAAAAAAGAAACGTGGAATAATAAAATATAATACAGTGTTTATCATGATAGCACAAACAACTGAAACAAATAATTCAAACTGAACATAACATTGTTAAGAATCCCAACTGACCGGTGGCAAACCAGTTGGCTATTTACGAACGCGGCCGAGGATTTGAACTTGGGGTTACCGTGAAACAACTAACTCGTCCAAACTTGACCCGCCTAGATTAGCTCAGCTATCCGCGGACATGTTATAATTGTAATTGTAATTTGTATGTATGTATGTCCAGTTAGTGGTCAGAGCGGGACTCGAACTCGGCGAGTCCGACGCGCTGACCACTCGGCCACGCTGCCTCCTAGAAACAACGTGTATTAACGGACATTTTGTAATCAAGGTAAACGGCGGTTAAAGATTATTCCCTAGGTGATTCAAACTCCCCTTCCCCCTCACCCCCCACCCACTCAAAACATACCAGTTTTCCAAAGAGTAGTTTTGCCCGAAATTGCCTTACATACATGTTGAATTTTTACTGTGATGCAAATGAGGACACTTCACCGAGAAAAGCACTATAAAGTATAACAGAATTCTGGGAAAGAACATTGTTCTTACTTTAGATTTAGCCGACGATTTCTTATTGCATTCCACTTTCTTTAACTGTTCTTCAGTTTCTGCTGGTTTTTCCTTGTCATTCAACAGCTGAAAGAAATAATCACTCATTCAGTTGGTCGGTCGGTCGGTCGGTCAGTCATCACTACTGAAAACATTTCAACCTTGCAGTGCTTTCTCTCAACCCTGGGGTATAAATGTCAGTATCAGACTGTTTGGGAAGTCAGACAAATTCCTGAGTGTAAATTAATGCACTATTCATACAGTGTAGATACTTAGTGAAGGGTTTGAACCCAGCGCCGGGATGTTCAAAGCCCGATTAAACTAACCCAGGATTAGCGAGAATTTTGATTTCAGTTTTGTAACTTTTTGGTGAGGTGTTCTGTTTATATGGTTCAGTTTTGAGCTGTAGTAATCTCAAACTACACCAAACGTAAGAGGTGAAAAAGAATTTTAAACAAGAAAAACTAATACTTCAGTTAACGTTTAATCCTCGGTTAACGTTAACTGGCTTTCGAACAACCCGGCCCAAGAGTATCAATAGTTCGTATAACGGGATCGTCCGGGTGAGGGTAGTTCTGAAAAGAACTGTTGTTGGTGACTGACATTTCGACAACCTGAGCAGAAGTCATCTTCAGAGTCAGTCGCTCAAATATGTATATATGATTATTAATTTTCCCCTGTACATAGTTCTTATTCTTTTGTTAATATCTTTCGTGTTAGTAAAATTTTACATTATGTGTATAGTAGGTCCACATCAGCCCTTCGGCTGCCAAATCCCCTCTACAACCTACTTATCAAATAAAGTTCACTTACTTAATTACTTACTTACTTACTTACACTAACAGTTCTTTTCAGAACTACCCTCACCCAGACGATCACACTATACGAACTAATGTAGATACTCCTGGTATATAAATTCACATTATGCTAATACGAATGTTCATAAATACAGTTAAATTCCAAAGACTTTATTGCAGTGTTTACGCCAGAGCGCGCCATTGCAGGAATCCCGCGTTACAATTAGAGATGGCCCTCAGAAAAACGAAAAAAGGGCCAATTTGGCCCTTTCCTTTTACAAGACTGCAGGATTAACAAAGGCGTAATAATATAAACGCCATCCCAGGGCTCGAAATTGTGATCTATACGGTCGCCAATGCAAGTAACATTTCATCCTTGGTGACCATACTGAAAAATTGTGGTTTAGTCGCCATGAAGGCGGCTGCATTTCTCTGTGTTGACGATCAATAACGGTTATTTTGTCACACATTATGTCCTTCTACAAAATCACATTAAAAGATCTTTGCTTCTAAAACAAAGAAGTCAATCTGTCCTTTTGCTTTGCTGTATTGACTCTCTCACATCGGAAAACTTCCAAATGGCTGACCGTGTTTGAAATCGCCCTATAATGCATTGCAAACCCTTGATCATTGACTACGTCATGTATGTCTAAGGATTGTTCTCTTGTAATGCACGGATCCTTCATACTAGTATCTGATTCAAAAGAAACTTTATTCAGTAGAAACACTTCAAAAAGCACTTACTATTAAATTTTATCAGAGATCCTAATAAACCGCTTTATTTTCCTTGGTACCTTGATGCATTTTTTCTTTCTGTAGCTTTCAATTTATTGGCCCCTTTCCTAAAAAATTGGCCCCTAAAAAAGATCTTCAGGAACCACTTTGGCCCTGAAGTAAAATTTTCTGGCTGAAACACTGGTATTGTCACAGAACGTTTTAAGCAGATTCAACAATGGCAAGACTAGCATTTTCCTAGCATTTTTTCCAAGACATTTTGACCTTTTAAATAATGAGACTGAGACTTCAGAGTGTTTTAAATGTGAGCACTAGATGTTTAGACTTTAGCTGTCTAGATATCCTTTCTTAAAGCAAACAAACAAATTGAGACTTGGATATTTTTCTTAACCTTGCAAAAAAAATGGACTCTGGGGCAGCTTTGTGAAAAAAAAAAAAAAAAAATCTGCGACTCATGGCAAGATGCAGATACTGTAGCTGCTAAAAAAAACCGACACTGTGAGGCCTGTGAAATTCAACGAAAATGTTGCAAAATGCATGGTTTTTGAAACACCATTCGCCACCCCTAATGTCAGTAGCTAGAAAGGGTCACGTCCTTCTCAGACACTCTTTGTGTGTGTCACCATTCTTTATCTATATTGGGGGGAGGGGGAGGGAGGGGGGGGGGAGGGAGGGGCTGAAAGATTGCATGACAAACACCAAGACTTGCAGAGCTCTCCAGTCAACAAGAACTGTACTGAGAAAGAAGATCAGCAATCAAATGACATTGCTGTAAATTGGAACTAAAATTAAAATAAATGTAAGAAAACTAGTTACTAGAAGAATTGATATTTTGAGCTGGGAAGTTTACCTTTGCAATGTTTTTCATTTCTTCCTGGGCCTGTCTGTTGCTTGGTTCAAGCTTCAACACTTTTCTGTAGTCAGCTTCAGCTTCTTGAATCCTTCCCAGCTGGAAACGCGCTGCTCCTCTTCTCAGGTATGCCTTAGTGTAAGATCCATCCAGCAACAACGCTTGATTGCAGTCTGCTTCAGCAGCCCCATATCTGAACATGGATTTATTAACTAAAGCTAGTCAAATTTTTCCCCCTTTCCTTTTTCTCCTTTCCTTATCTTTTTGCTGCAGTTGTTAAACTCCCACTGGGCTTGCTTCCAGTTCAAGAATTCCCCAGAAAGCAACATCAAGACAGGAAATTCTTACCTTGGAGTAGCCAAGTGTAGATGACGGAAATTTTGCTCTGAGTTTTTCACTCAAATTTCTAAGCATTTCCATGCATATTTCACACTCAACTGACCCAATCACTCTGATCTGGGTATCACTGGAAATATCTTCTCCTCCTGCCGAACTAAAGTAGAAGTGATGCCAATTTTGGTCAAAGGAGCAAAGGCAAAAGCATGTTGCCACGGCAAGCACAAGCACCAAAGGGTTAAGGGACACTTGGCATTTTTTAATTATTAATTTACACAACCTACTATCTACAGAAAACCACTGTAATGTACTGTAAACACACTGACCTTTGTAATTTTAGCAGACACATTGCCCTGTTAGCTGGAAGAATGGCATTTGTTGGGTCAAATTGAATCCCTGCTGTGTAGCAGTTAATAGCCTCTTCAAATTTCCCTTCCTTGAAAAGAGCATTTCCCTGTAAATAGAATGCATTAATGAAATTGAATTCAGAAGTAATTTGCATTTGCCTAGCTTTTGAATGCAGCAGCTTTATGCATGCGCCTACTGTAGTACTGGACGCAGGTGCAACTTAGAGTGATGATGATGATGATCAGTGCCTTAGCCCCTTGCATTAAAAAACTCACGTCACTTTCAATTGTCAGCCAATCAGAAGTAGTCAACCAGAGCCGATCATGACTTATTTGTGGACATTTTCCTGTAGCTCACATCAGCTAGAGTTTTTTGCTTTGAGATTTGATTTGGTTCACTGGATTCTCTGTGGCCTTTGTGGCTGCCCAAAGTGATTTAAGTTAGTCTTAGTTTTGTGGCACTCAAAACCTGATCTGTATAGCTCAGGAACATGTTTGTGTAGTACTACTCAAATCATAGAAGAAATCTGGCATTTAGGATTAGCCTAAGGTAATTTTTTTTTTACTTTCAGGGCTCATGGATTTAGTGTCACTAATCAAAATTTCAACTCCCCTAACTGTTTATTTTTTTAAGCCTCATAGCCTTTGCTAGTATGAATGCTTGCATGTGTATCTATATGGAGAGAAAATGAATGTTCACCTACCCAGAGAGACTGGTTAAAGTAATATGACTGGAATCACATGTTTCTATTGCAAGCAATTTCATGTGTTAATGTTTTAACCCTGGATTGAGAAAACATAAAGTTAACCAACCTTGTCCTTTTCAAGCAGTGCCCTCTGCAACTTTCTCTCATTCTCTACCTCTTCATCAGTCTCATCACTTTCTTCCTCAGAGCTGGAAAATGTCTTCATTTCCTCTTGTTCATCCATGTCTGTTAAAACTTTATCCTGACAAAAGCCAGATGAAACATTCAACACCTCATTAGATAATGCTAACTGCATAATTCCAGTTCCTGCAAGGGGCTACATAGCTCCAGTTTTTCATTACAGTGGAATACCTCATTCATACGGCCACATTATTCTTAATTGGTCACGTTATCCTGGCCCTAAAAAAAGCTCATGAACGGTTTCCACAGAAAATATGCACGTAAATGTATTTTTAAATTTGTCCGTATAACATCCAACCTTCCCTTCATGTGCTGCGTGTGTGTCACGTTGATTTTGTTGACCACTGTATTTTCTGTGGCATGATACAAAATAGTTATGCATTGCTCTCTTGTGGTTTACCAGGGAGTAGCCCACTTGTCACATTTTTCTTGGTTTACAGTATACAGTATATTTTTGTGGTATATGGTGACTCGTGGGATATTCCATCAGATGATATACCACTCGAAAGCATTGTATAACTAGTATTAATAGCATTAATTATTACATGGCTTGTGTTCGTAGCCGATATAAATCGTGCTCTAATTAGCTAGTTTTAGGGCATTATTCTCTCATAATTCCCACAGGCTGATTACGGACTTACAAAACTAAAGCAAAAAGCTATATATAACAAACAACTAATTTACATTCAATGTTCAGTCTTCACAGGAAAACCTCAAACCTCGCCCTTGCAGGGTCTCGGTTTGAGATTTTTCCATAAAGACCCCATTCTCGGTTGTAAGTACTCATTTATGACCACCTGGGTAAAAACAAATTAAACACACTTGTATTAATAGGCTGCAGAAGCTTATGCCTAGAGCTTTTCCACTCTTGGAAGGAAGACTATCATTGTCAGCTTTGTGACACTGATTGCCACTGAATATCAAAACCTGATCTCACACAGACTTCTACCATTTTGCATTCACACAATTTTACCAGAATTATATCATGCAATTGTCATATCAAGCACATACACAGTCACATACTTTTATATTTAAGGGAAACTTACAACATCAAATTTATCCCATGATCTGTAGTCATATGAGCTTATTCTTGTTTTATTTTTTGGTTTGTTGTCATTGTTAGAATGTGTTGATGATTCTTTCTTTTTCGTCTTCTTTCTCCTTGACTGATTCCTCACAGGAGGCAGGCTCTGTAGGAACAAAAACAACAATTCTGGCCGTTGAACTAAGTGCATTAACTGCAGATCTTCTGACAGCAGAAAAATAGAGCGGATTCAAGAATGCGCACTTAGAGCAGTATTTAACTCCCATTCAGAATCATACAAAAACGTTCTGGTTTGTGCTGAGCCACCTTCACTACTAAATCAACGACTACAAGATATCGCTACAGTAATGTACAAAGTAAAATATGGCCTCGCACCAAGTATTGTTGACGAACTGTTTCAGCAGAAAAGCACTAGTTATTCATTAAGAAACAGTGATTTTGATATTCCTACTTTTAACACTATTAACTATGGAAAACATTCTATTAGATATCAAGGACCTCATGTATGGTCGATACTAGATAATAAATTGAAAGACTCTTCGAATATTGAATCTTTTAGGAAGAACATTTGGAAAAAAGACCTAACGTCACTCTTAAACAACAACAATAGCTGCTGTAACCTTTGCAATTCTTAGAGACTTATACCTTTAGATACCCATTGTTTTATTCAAAAATTTATACATGCTACATATTTTTAATTGTATATACAATTTATTATTATTGTTATTCCTTATTTGTAAATAAGTTTAACTTTTTTAGTTGTGTCCCCAGTTAGTTGTAAAAACTAAATACATTGACACATTAATAAAGCTTTTACTTTACTTTACTTACTTTCAGCTGTTTGTATTGACTATAAAAACAAACGATGATGCAAATGTACAAATGATAATTATTACAGCTCCGTGAAATTATATTAGATTTATACTTTCCAGGTATGCCATTGAAACATAAGTAGACAAAATAAAAAAATTAAAACTCGGATAAACACAAGAGTACATACTGGACGGCCGAAGTATTAATAACGACTATAAATGCAAACCTGTTTTGTAATTATCTTTGCATGACGGAGTTCTTCATCTTTGACTTTCATTTCATCCTGCCAACTATCCAGATCTTTCAGCAAATCTTGCAATTCTTCGGCATTTTGGCGAATGTTCAGTTGTACCTTCAAAGCGTCCGCCATCTTTTTTTCTAGCAATTTGTAACCGCGCTTTCTCCTTGGAGACATTTCAGTGTCAACATTCATGGACGCCATTCCAATTTTTACCGGTCAGCGGAGGGGGGGAGGAGAGGCGGGGTTGCGGGCGGGAACTAAGGGTGGAGCCGGGGGTTCTCTCGTGTCCCCTCTACGGATGGGGCTGGAATGCGTTCCAAAAACATTTGTAACTGGGCTGACTTTAAGGTGGTTCAATGGAAGAATGCCAGAGTCATCATTTCGATCGCCCTGTTTCAATCGGCTCCAATGAGAAAGAGGAAGGGAAGGTTATTGACTATGGGGACTGCTTCTTTACACACCCACCGTGGTTATTGGGCGAGGAAAGGCTTGCTACCAGATGCAGCTTAT